CTTCTACTACTACTATTACTGCTACTACTGCTACTACTGCTACTACTGCTACTACTGCTACTACTGCTACTACTGCTACTGCTACTGCTACTGCTACTGCTGCTCCTACTACGATGACGACGACTACTACGACTACTACGACTACTACTACTACTACGACTACTACTACTACTGCTACTACTACTACTACTACTACTACTACTACTGCTACGACTACGGCTATATCATTATCAACAATTTGTTATCATTAGTATTGTTACGTTTACAAAACCCACATGAGTATGTCTTGTTTGTGAAGCTTGAGCATGTGGCAAGTGGAGGCGCCAGTAGTCAACTGGATGGTAATGGACGGGCGGGTGTGTGTGTGTGTGTGTGTCTGTGTGTGTGTGTGAGTTGTGTTCGGGAGTGGAGATATCGGTCATTCGCTCCATCCATTCAAGTACAACGATAACAACGACAACAGCGACAACCACAAGGACAACAGCAACGACGACGACGACAATGACGGCTACAACGACGACGACCACGACCACGACCACGACCACGACGACGACGACGACGACGACAACAACAACAACAACAACAAGAACAACAACACCAGCAACACCAGCACCAACACAGCACCAACACAACAGCAACAGCAACAGCAACAGCAACACCCAACACCCAACACCCAACACCCAACACCCAACACCCAACACACAACCGCAACTACAACCATAGCAACAACAGCAACAACAACGACAATGACAGCGACAGCGACAGCGACAGCGACAGCGACAGCGACAGCGACAACGACAACAACGACAACAACGACAACAACGACAACAACGACAACAACGACAACAACGACAACAGCGACAACAACGACAATGACAACGACGACGACGACTACAACGACAACAACGGGTGAGGGGGGTACGCCCCAGAGCCCGCCGCCGGTACGCGCGCACGCGCGGCGCCCCAACAACGAGGAGCAGGGCCACCTCATCCCAACAGCCCTCCAAGGCGGGGTACAGGGCACGCACCGCGTCTTAACAGCCCTCCAAGAGCAGGGCCAGGGGGGTACACTCCCGCGCTTTGCCCGACTCCAAAACAGCCCGCCAAGAGCAAGGGCCAGGTACGCAAGCGCGCGCCGGCTCCCAATTGTTGTGGCCACTGTGGTGGTGCGATGTGGTGTAGCGGTGATGGTGTTGTGGGTGGTGGTGGTGGTGGTTGTGGTGGCCTCCTCAGCTGCTGCTTCTGCTGCTGATATATACATATATATATATATATACACACACACACATTTCTTTTGCCTTGTCGCTCTCACCGTCATCCTCATCATCATCAGATCAGCAGTGTGTGTATAAACATCATCACCAGCAACCTCGTGCGCACTCAGAAGCGTGATTGCAACGATCTCTGCTTTGACTACGGTTTCAGGATCTTGCCTTCTCCCCTTCCAGGTCTTGCCTGCAGCGCGCTTGAGTTTTCCAGATCACATCAAGCGACCCAGCTTTACAGAGTTCAGCCCTAGCGCCCAGCCACGGGATCGTGAGCATCGGAGCTTCGATTCAGTTCGAGGATGTAGCAGTTTCTATGTTCATACGGTATATGCGACGTCGTATACGGTTGGTTCGCGCCGCATCGGTCGAGAGACAGCGAGCGAGCGAGCGAGCGAGCGAGCGAGAGAGAGAGAGAGAGAGAGAGAGAGAACGAAAAGTACTGAGCTTCCAGGTTCGTCATCGCCTCCTTCCCCAGTCTTTTCGGTACGGCCCGCGGCGAGCGGGTACGAGCATGGTGCCGCAGGCGGCCTGAATTTTGCGGACAGCACAACGACAACAGCCGAGAAAACAGCATCACAACTTCAAAAAGCCGCAGCAGCAGCAGCAGGAGGAGTAGTGGTCGTCGTCGTCGTCGTCGTGGTGGTAGTAGTAGTCGTAGTCGTGGTCGTGGTCGTAGTCGTAGTCACAGCATTGACTTCGTGTTCAAATCTGTAGTAAGTTCTCACACGGCCACTTCTGCGACAGGCACAGCAACAAACTGTTTGTGGCAGCTGCATATGACTTATGTACACTCCTGGACCTGCGGAAACCCTCAAGCCGAAAATCCCGACCCTGAACCACCAGCAGCTCACAGAATGATACGGTGTCTGGAGCCTCCTGTACCCTGTGCTTTCATGACAGTCATGACAATAGTCTCATTGTGGACAGTGCTGGCATAGTTCCCCCTTGTTTGCAATATTGCCTGCCTAGACCTAGAGAAACACAGGCCAACCAGGCTGGTATTTTCGTTATTGCCCTTGCAGGTCAGCAGCTTGAATCCCAAGCCTCAACTAAGAGGCCCTACGACCGGGAAACCCACAGCATTCGAACCCTGAATTTGGAGATCAATACCACTCATGAAATCAATAAGGCCGTGTGAAATAAATCTCCAGGAGTGACGATAGCCAGACGGTAAATGGTAGGACTACTACCGAGGAGCAGGAGAAGAGAAGGAATGCCAACACCAGCAAGAAGAACTGCAACACTGAGAATAATATGGGATGAAAGCAACTCAGCAACTCTGAAAGCCCTGTGAGAGAGGTACGGCTGGACCCTGCTCTGGTCACTGGGGCTCAACCTTGGCTTCACCACCGACTATGGCATGCCCCATTTCTGGGACCGCAAAGGGTTTCCTTGCACAGTTTCCGTGGATTGCAATGAAGTTTTTTTTTTTTGTTGTTGTTTTGGGACCCCCTTGGCCATAAGGGTTTAGGTAAGACCCAGAATACTGCCCAAAAGCTTTCCAGACCTTGACAAACTTCAACCACTACTACCAATGGAGCCCGTCGTTGTCGTGGCCGGCACCTCGCTGCTGTAGCACTGTAGCAGTGTTTGTGGGAGGGGGCGACGATAAACATAGTCATAGCCGCAATGATGAAGGTCGCCAGGAAGCAGCCAATAGTGTTCTCTTTCAAGTCCTTGCAAAGGGAGGTGCGGTCGTCGTCGTCGTCGAGTAGTAGCACCAGCAGCAGCAGCAGCATGAGTAGTAGTAGTAGTGGTAGTAGTAGTAGTAGTAGTAGAAGAAGTAGTAGTAGCAGTAGCAGTAGCAGTAGCAGTAGCAGTAGCAGTAGTAGTAGTAGTAGTAGTAGTAGTAGTAGTAGAAGTAGTGGTAGTG